AACGACCTCAATCAAAATTTAATTATTTTTTTATCCAAACTGTTACATCTGTAAGAAGTAAGATATTCATATTTCACCTTTTCACCAAACTCACGTTCAAAGGTTCTGACTGTTCCCTATTTTTTGTTGTAGTTTTTAGTAATTTAACTTGTCTTGTTCTTATTATAATGAAGTTCTCATCTTATTATTTTCAAATCTACAGAACCCAGACATTAGGGGATTTTTTTCTTTTGTGTTACCACACAATACTTTTTGCATTCCCACACAAATAGTTTTGCGTTATCGTGTGTATATAAAAGCCCCCTATATTTGTAGGGGGTCTTTCCTTTAGTTTGGGGGTTGTTTCATTGAAATTTTAAATCGAATTTGAATAATTACAACAGATATTGTTTTAAAACACCTTTTATTTGGTGCATGTACATGATCGCAGCTGACGTGGTRAAATAGAAAAGCTTTTTACCTAGTTTGAAACATCAGCTAAAATAAACCTTTGAGTTTAGATTTTGACACAGCTTTGTTTTAGATGAATTCTTTTCTGTCACGTGATTCAATAGTCAAAAAAATAAAGTTGTCAATACGTTTTATTACAGCCATCTACAATTTGATGCAATAGTAAAAAACAATTACAAGTTGACAAACAACAGAAAAGCCACATTATTTCATGTGTAATTAAATATATTCATTTATGATTAAACACAATATATTAGTATCACAAGACATCACAAAMATTTCCAATGGACACAACATTTACAAGCTAACGTAGAATCATGAACAGAAAAAAATGTTCACGTATGGTTCTGAAGTTTGGTAGGTGTACCTTTCTGCAAAAAAACTGAAAAACCTGATAGCAAAAAAAAAATAGTAAGTTATTTCTGATGAAATACATACAGTATGATGCACAGAGTACCGCAGAGTACTCATGTATTCACACGTCTGTGGCCTCGTCAACGCTGCTTTGGGTATTTTTAAATTTTAATTGTTTCTGTCAACTCATCGATACAAAATGTTTGTGGTGAGAAATACTGCACAAAAAACGTAGCAGCTCACTCCATTGTCTCGTGTTGTAGAAATCACAACAATCGAGCCAATTTTTAAAACATTTTTTAATGTGTCTCTCACATCATACCGATATTGTCACCATTAAACTTTTTGAAATTCACACTGCAGGTCTTAAKGCTCAATGATGATTTTTYATGTGTGTGGACAATCATATTTTAAATGAGACCTCCGTCAGACTCCAGTGTGAACTTTCYACAGYATTGATTTGACCTACATGCACAGAAGTAGACACATTCAGCACGTTGTTTACAGAAGTAAATATGGATGTGACATGCGATGTGAACATAGACTAAGAAGCAATCCAAATCTTTTGAATGGCTCTTTAAAATGAGGAACCAACAAACCCTAACTTTTTCCTAACCCTAACCTAAACCCGAACTAACTCAACTGACAATGAGACATATTTTGTTAGGTTGTTCTTCTGTGTTGGGGGTGTGTTCTGTGGTAAGAAGGGGAGTGGGAGTTGTATACTTGAAGCACACTGACTTGGACTTTCTGATAACTTGTGGATGTTAACAYGAGCACAAAAATGTAAAGATATTGYATATTTGGGCCCTTTAAAAACATTTTCTTGTATGTCTGCACAAACCTTAAAACTACAGTCATAATACGATAATTATTGTGTATCTGGCAACACTGGCTCACAGCACAGCATGGCCRCATACTTCAAAACAACAACATGTGGTCGTACTGCATCACTGGCTCGCTAAAGCACAGCTTTTTGAAAGGAACAGATCCACAACACCAGGCTCCCTACAAGAAGCTGTAAATCCCATCTGTAGTTGAAATGGTTCATAACAGGAAACAATWTCAAAAATAAAATGTTTTAGGAAAAATACTGAGCCAAGCTGGGAATGCTCTCCGTATTTTGATGTCATTGATATGAATATTCTCGCCATAGAGTTGCATGGTGCAACTATTTTAGATATATATTGAGATAATATTTTTTTTTGAGAAATGCAATATCTTTTTTAAAAATATCCAGAGTAGTGTAGATGAGGCTTTAGTCTGAGCTCACTCAGAGTTCGTGGACTCCGGTAAACGTCAATTTCACTCATTCGGTTTCTAGTGTTTAAAACGGTTAAGTTCACATGTAGATACAGTATATTTGGTTAAATTTTTTTTACAAAAAAAAAAACAACTGTAATACTATACATCTATTTAACACACAGACCCGATAAATTGTTTGTTTTTGTTGAGTACCTTTGTCAAAAAGTCACTTTGAGGAAACAAATATTTGACACTTTGTGCTGAACGCACTGAACAATCAACATGTGATTTTATAATCACTCCACAGGTTATTTCTCCCACAACAATGAATATTTTAGAAAACWAAATGTGCATATTCACAACCATTACTAGCCTTTCAGTGGCGATGAAACTTCCTTTCTTTGTTTTTTTTAAATGATRATCAATGTATAAATTCTCTGAAGAGCTTAAAGATCTTTGACATCCAACTAATATTTAGACCATACTTACACAATAAAACTCCTCTGTAGTTACTATGAAACATCAGTCCAGACACATCTGTGAGGCAGGCAGGTTTTCCACCAGCTWTACTAGTTTTTTTTCTGGACCTTCAAAAGTATTTCTTGTTGTTTGGATGCCACCCTAAAAAGTACATATCATATGTCCTAAAACTTGGGAMTAGTTAAAATAGTAAGTGCCTGGTTGACAAATCTACTCTATGTTTAGCTGATGCATCCACATGATCTACAAAAGAAATATTGTTCACTTATCCACATATGGTTACTTTACATTGCAGAGGTCAGAACCACAACATATTGTAGGCAAAAAAAAGTCAACTGCTGAGCAAAAAGAGGTCTTCATAATCAAATTACTTTACAGAAAGAAGAGAGAATCTTGATGGCGTTCAGWTCCCAGAACGCATTGAGGTAAAACTCAGGTTTGACAGGGTAGATCTGGGGGAAACTGGCGATATGAGACCACAGCTGTGAACAAGGTAACCATTCCTAATATTCATGTTTATTGTAGGTTTTAATGGTTTACTGGTCAAGCATGAGTCCAGTCCCTCAGCGCMGCACTGATCAGCCTATCATAGCAAAATGAAACTGGACGGTGTGAAGACAAAGCTGATAAAGACGACAAAGACGATGCTCGGCAGCTCAGCATCGTTTGTAATGTGGTCAGGATGAGTCATATCTGTATATTAGGTGCAAACTCTGCAATTACACAACAAAACAGACCTTGAAAAGGAAATAGAGCAACTGTAAAATGCGCTCCTTCACAAAAGTTTCTAAAAAAAAACTATTTATTCTCTTTACTCCAGCTCAGAGCAGCAGCACTCGGACATTTCCTCATTTCTTCTACTCTTTACTTGTGTTCCTTTATTTTAAGTTCTCTCAGTTCACTCTTTTTCCCTCGTCCTCAGCCTGGTGGCGGTGTCTCCATTTCTCCTTTTCCTTCAACTACCAGACAACCTTTAGCACTTTCCCCTCTTGCCGCGCTGTTGAAACTTCCTCAGCCGACGGCCCCACAGGTCCTTCCAGGGAATGAGCAGGCTTCCCTTGTCGGCGACCACGCCGCTCTGTCCAGGGGAGTCGTCGTCTGTGCCCAGGAGCAGGTACTTCCTCCCAGGCTTGATCTTGGGGCATTTGCAAGCCACATCTTTGGCACGCACCCACAGCAGCTGGTCGCCACGGCGTATGCGGTGTTCCCCTTGTTTGTAGACGGAGATAATGTTGACGGTGAACTTCCACCATTCGCCAGCCTTGTCTCCTTTAAGAACGTGCACTTGGACCGCTGGAAGAAGAAAAAAACAGAGGCTGCGTTATCCTCAACTTAAAACTCTTCTCACCAGTTTATAGATAAATGATGCAATAGAATGGGGCTAATTAGACAGCTTAAATGTGGCTCATCAAATCAAACTGAGGATAAAGTTGTCTCAGTTGTTGTGTGCTTGGGCAAGACACTTCACCCTTAATGCCGCTGATGTGTGTCCCATCAGTGTATGGATGTGATTGGCACTGATTCGTCTCCATAGGCGATTGTACATGTTAGCTTTGTAGAGACCTAATAGAGTGCTGTGTGAATGGGTAAATGAAGACACAGATTGTAGTGTGAAGAGCTTTGAGTGTCCTGGATGGATAGAAAAGCGCTATACTGTATAAGTACAGTCCATTTACCACAAAGTCAGATTTGGTCAAAATGACTAATGCACACTTGGGACATGCAGGAGGGACTGTATGTTTCTCAGCTGGCCTGGGAACATCTTGGGATTCCCCCAGAGGAGCTGTCCCCGCAACCCTACACCTGATAAGCGGAAGAAAACAGACAGACCTAAGCACAATATCARATTCTTGTTTTTTAAGCTACATTCCGATACTTAGACCATCTTGATATTCTAAATGGTTCCAGTGATATGACTTAGTTTATCTTGCTTGCTACTCGAGGTAACCCCTAGAAAATTGGTCTGAATCTTACTTTTAGGGTAGTCTAACAAGATTTTTTTTATATAATTTAAAGAGGAATCCTCAAACTATATTTGGATTTTTGGATTTCCCAATCTCTGGTGCTGAGGTCACTGAGGTGGTTAAAAACCTGCTCGGTGGCAAGGCACCGGGAGTGGATGAGATTCACTCTGGATGTTGTGGGGTTGCGTTGGTTGATGCAACTCTACAATATTGCGCGGACATCGGGGGCAGTTCCCCTGGATTGGCAGACCGGGGTGATGGTCGCCCTTTTTAAATAGGGGGACCGGCCCGCCACCCTGGTTTGCAGAGTGTGTTCCAACCATAGGGGGATCACACTTCTAAGCCTCCCTGTTAAGGTCTATTCAGGGGTCCTGGAGAGGAGGGTCCATCGGATAGTCGAATCTCAGATTCAGGAAGAGCAGTGTAGTTTTCATCCTGGTCGGGGAGCAGTGTAGTTTTTCGTCCTGATCGTGGAACACTGGACCAGTTCTACACCCTCAGCAGGGTCCTGGAGGGCGCATGGGAGTTTGCCCAACCAGTCTAAATGGGGGGGGGGGGGGGGGGTACTCCGATAGTTAAAGGGGCAATATAATCTAAAATCAATTTTTTTGAGTTTTATACCATGTTATAATGTTATACTCTCAT